TAGAACTATCCCAAAAATGTACAAAAAAAATTCCTTAAAACAATATCACATATACAAATACCTCTAAAAAAAAAATACTAATGAAATCTAATAAAATTTATAAGTTTTAAGTAATAAATAAAATCTTACTCATTTATAAAACGTATGAATTTATCACCATTGTCACCATTCAACCAAATAATACAATATAATTATAAATTCAATTACTTGTTATCTTTTTATTGCTATTAGCTTGGGCTTTGAATTTTTTTGGTGCAATTGGTATCACTTGTTATTTTTTTTATTGGTGATTAATTTGGCTTTGATTTCTTTTGTTTTTTGGTGCAACTTGACCTTGCATGTCCACAACTTGGAATTTTTTTTTTTAGCACTCAAATATTTTTTTCATTCTATAAAATTACTCAAATATTTGACTTTATTATTTTTTTTATCGGTGATTAGCTTGAGTTTGAATGTCTACGACTTGAAAAACAAAATTTAAAGTTGGTTTTGAATATTGTTTTTTGGTGCAATTGATTTCATTTTTTTTTGGTCATTGTTGTTTTTTTATTGGTAATTAGCTTGGTTTTGATTTTTTTTTTTTGTGCAATTGGTATCACTTATTATTTTTTTTATTGATGATTTGTTTGGTTTTGAATTTTTTGATTTTTGTGATTAGTTTGGTTTTAAATGCCTACAAATTTTTTTTAACATTAAAATTTTTTTTTTCTATAAAATCATACAAATGTATGACTAAGACTATATTTAAAACATCTAAGAGATATGACATATAGTGTATTTAAAAGAGATATGAGATAGAGAAAAAAAAAAGTTATATAAAATATGAGAGACTTAGAGTTATAAAAGAAATGAAAGTCCAATTAAGATCGTTAGATTAATAATCCTCGAACGATCTAAACTACGAAAAGTTCAAAACAAACAATCTAGCTACTTTATTTTATATATATGTATATTTCTTTATTTAAAAATATTCTAATTTAATATTTTTGTAAATTGTATTTTTGAATTAAAAGTAGAGTCAAAATTGATAAAAAATAAATAATAAATAAATTTATTTTGAGATGAATTATTTAGTATTTAAGTAAATAATTAATAATACCTTAAATTACTCAACTTAGATTTAAGTAAATAAATATTTTTTTTTAAAAAAAATATGCACCCAACTTTCAGTTGTCAATTTTTTTTTCAAACAATGTGGGTGTACATAGGCTTCACCAAAAAGCCCAAAACCCAATGCCGCCTTTTAACGCAATTTAATGTACTCCCTAGAATATAACTGACAACTTTCATTACTCTTGAAAAATTACAATTTTTCCCTCCTTAAGGACTTTTTTCTTAATTTACAATAAATACAATTTCTCTGAATTTTATAGTTACATTGTTTATTTAATATTTAATTTATAACTTTTATAAGAATGAGACATGTATATCCCGGGCCGGGCCGTGCTGGCCGTTGCAGAGACCCAGGTGGACGGGCTATGCTGGGCTGGGCGAGCAAGTTCTTAGACCAAATTTTTGTAGGTGGGCTAATGGGTTGAATTTTAGGACAAGTAATGGGCTTGCGGGCAAGTTCGAACTTTCTCTTAAAGAATATTATGCTTGAATTTAAGTGCCTATTATCAAATTTATCGAATTTTGGACTTATTTATTCTGTCCGGATAATTAGTCCAGGGGACAAACCCACCCATGGACACCCCTGCTAATGGACGCCATTTATGCAGCAGGTCAATTTACATTCATATTTAAATCTAAATCTCCTCTAAACTGATGCTTGGTGTGGAAAGCCAACTTTCAGCGGTGGACCATAGAAAGCTGATATCTTTCTGGCCCAAGAAACCCATCCATTTAATTTGAATGAAAATTTGGAGTTGGGTCCATTTTTTAAGCTTTATTTAGATTAAAATCTACTCAAAAATTTTGTTTAGGAATAAGTTTATTTTGATCTTCATTATTCAAAACACACTCCGTAGTTATATTTAATTGAAGTAAATTTAAAAACTAAAAGATCCTGAAAATTAAAAGCTAAAAACTCCTATGTATATATATTTTTTTGAATTTTGAAAAATCTTTCAAAATTAAAATTTTCTATGTATCTCTAATATATATACTAACAATAAGTTAGCACTACAAGGGTTGACAAAATCATAGACAAATTATATTTCAAGAATGTAAATGGCGCAAAACTTAAGGCAATACTAACCAAAATCATCCGAGAGATCAAATCTTAAAACACTGCCAAAATTTAAAGAAAACACGGTCCACACAAATTATTAGACTCGTCATTAAGTCACAATAAATTTTTGAAAAAATTACCAATAAATATTATTTTTTCTCACAAACATCTGTTAAGTTATATCATTTTTGTTTTATATCAATGAAGTCCTAAATTCCATAAAGACTATATTTTGTTCCAAACTATCATTCTCTTGGCAAAATATTAATGTATAATAACATTAATCGTCTTCTATTCATACATACCCCAACTTCTTGAGTTTTAAATTATGTATTACATACTTTATAATTTTATGAAAAAATCTAAGTACAAGTAATTTTTAGAATTGTCATTATGAGATACAATAAAAGATTTTGGACCCTATGTATTATCAATGAACAAGAATTTTCTAACAAAAACTCTAGTACTTTGTGATTTTAGAATCACGATCGAAGTGAATACTAATACCTAAACAAAAATGGAGCATTCATATATCTGTAAATGTAGTTTCAATAAAAACTCGACAAGTATTTATAAATAAATAAAAAGTAAATTAACTCATATAAAAAGAGATGACAACTGATCCACTCTAAAAAAAACATAAAATTGAGTTAAATAACAATTGATACACAATAAGAAGAATAAAAAGGTTTTGGTAACTAAAAGTTAAAGACAAAATAGAATACAATAAAATTAAAACTTAATTGAAATAAAATATTAAAAAAAGGACTTCATTACTATAAAACAAAAATAATAGAACTTAATAGATATTTATAAAAAAAAATTAATACTTATTGATAATTTTTCTTAAATCTAACTACCGCAACTATATAATAGTAAGTCTAAAGAATCCAACAACATATCCCATATACCAACTACCTCATACCACCATTTATAATTAACAGTATGTATGTACCAGAAAAGCAGTTGCTAAATGCAATGCAAACTCAGTTCCAAGGTATCTGAGACAACCAGAGAAATGTCTCAACTCAAAATGAAACTATGATGTAGAAAGTTGCTCAATATTTCAACAACATCTTACATAAATAACAAAGATTTATGAGCATAGGAGGTGCCCAATACACATAAATTAGTAATTTCAATTGAACATAAAAGGACAAATAAATAAATTTTGATTTGTTGGTTTAAATTTGATAATGTTTGGCAAGAAAAATAGCATTATGCCACTATAAGTATTAAAACACGTAAATTATTGAATTCGCCATCATGTCACAATAAATATCTAACCACGGCAACTATATAATGGACTTGGGAGAATTCATTTAAAGTTTTTTTTTTTATCACATCCATTTAAAGTTCAACCGAAAAGAAGTGTAGGTTGTTCACATATCACATAAAATGCTCAACATCCACCTTCCTCTCTCACTATAACATAATAATTGTTGGCAGCATCATTACTCTAGTTATTTTTTGTGCCTGAAGCCATGAAATAATAAAAAGAAATTAATAATAAATATATTTGTATTCACACCAAAAAATAAATTACAAAAATAGAGAAGAGAAAAATAAATTTAAACACTACTTTTAATGGGCTGCGAGCGGTGATAGTGACGGTGAGCGACAATAGTGGTAGTGGGAGACGGTGATAATTGTGATTGATGATGACGATCGATTGTAATGGTGGCAACCGTGGCTAGAGATGGTGATTGGGATGGTGCGGTAGTGGGGGTGATGGTGGGATAGTGACAGTTGTGGTAAGGTGGTGACATCAGTGGTGGTAAGGTGGTGACATCAATGATGGTGGTGGGGCATTAATGGGGTGGTGGTGGTGGTGGAGTGGTGATAGTGATGGTGGTTGTTGTGGAAGAAGTGATGGTAGGGTGGTGACAATGGTGGTGGCAGTGGTGATAATAATAGTTGTGGTGGGGTGGTGGTGGAGGTAATGGTGATTGTGGTGGGGCGATGAGGGTGAGGATGGTAGAGATGTTGGAGGCGCAGTTTCCAAATATTATTTTTTTTTAAAAAAAAATACTTATGAGAAATTATAAGTATTAAAAATATTTTTTAAAAGTCACCTCAAACACACTTTTAGAAGTTTATTTTCTCTATTAAATTTAGAGTGTTAATATTAGCCGTCAGATTAATTTTAAAGTAAAATTTAAAGAGATTTCAACCATAAATAACAAATGTCATTTTATTTATTTTTTAAGATTTAAATTGTATTGTACTTTATTATATAGATGTTCCCGTGTAAAACACATTTTTTTTAATGCATAGGTTGAGTTACCAGAATTAAAATTTTTAAATTTAAATAAATTATTGTATTTAAAAAATTAAATATAAAATAGTGATTAAAAGAGAAAAGATAAATGGCCTAGTAGTTAAAGTCTATCCGTGACCAAAATAAAAAATTATGGTTAAAGGATTAAAATTTAAATAAGTTATTATGATTAAAAAATTAAAATTTGAATTATCAAATGTAATCAATCTGAACCGTTATTGTATTAATTTAAGTTGTCGATCATGTTTTATTAATATAGATGAAATAAGACATTGTGACTTGTGAGTACGAGCCATATCGTTGGTTTATAAATTTTATTTATTTAGTAAATATAATTAATTTAGATATTTATATTATAATCCTGTGTCCAAACATCTCGTGATTAGAACGATTTGTGTTATAAAAATAAAAAATCTCAAAATAACTATAAAAAACCCAAAACGGCAGCGTTTGCTTGGTTGCATCTGCCTGGGAAATCTGCAACACACTCTTCCGAAAGTACCCTTTTCAGCCAATGCCTACCGAAACGATTGCAAACTGGATGATAAGGTACCAACCTAGCACTGAACCAGTACTTACCCCTCTTCATCTTCTTCGTTTCTTTCCTCTTTCTCTCTCCCCCAGTCCTCAACCATGGAGGCCACTCTCTTCACATTCCCCACCTCAAAACCCCCACTATCCTCCTCTCACACCCTCTCACTCAAAAACCACTTCAACAATTCACTTCTAACCCAACCCAATTTCAATCTTTCCATCCATCACCACCGCAAACCACCACCCACTTCAATCCGCGCCGCCATAAGTCGGACAAAGAAAGAAGAAACCGTAGAAACCGTCAAACAACAACTCGAAGACTGCTACCTCTTAGCCGGCATCAAATACAAAGGCTTCACAGTCAAACAATTCCAAGAACTAAGAACTTCACTCCCTGAATCAACCAAGCTCATTGTTGCCAAGAACACTTTAGTCCTTAAAGCCATCGAAGGCACAAAATGGGAAGCTCTGAAACCGTGCATGAAGGGCATGAACGCTTGGTTGTTTGTTCACAGTCAGGAAATTCCCGCGGCGATAAAACCGTATCGGAGTTTTCAGAAGGAGAAGAAGTTGGAGGAAAATGATTTTTCTGGGGCGGTTTTTGAAGGGAAGTTTTATGCTCCGGAGGAGTTTAAGGCTTTGGAATCGATGCCGACGAGGGCGGAGATTTATGCGAAGCTTTTGGGGTCTTTGAAGGGTCCGGCGTCGGCGGTGGTGGGGACACTTCAGGCTCCAGCCAGGGATTTGGTGATGGTGTTGAAGGCTTATGTTAAAAAGTTGGAAGAGGAAGGTGGGAAATAATGGATAGGAGGAGATGTGCAGGATTGGTATGTAAGTTTATTGCTTTGTTGTTTTTGATTAATGGAATTTGAGGCTGTGGAAATTGTAGAATTTTGTAAGTTTTGTTGTTGATATGGAATTTGAATACAATGCTTATCAAATGAAAATGGCATTAGTCTTTTACATTGGAACTAACTGAAGAACCTTATGATTGTTATCTATCTGTTCTTGTCCTGGTATTGTATTGTGATTAATTGAAAACATTGCAAGATCGTTATAGTTATTATTTGTCCAATGTGCAAATTAAACAAAGTTGTGTTTGTGAAATATGATCTGTATTTCCCTTGTCATGAACATTTTATGGCCTGTTTTCATTGCTTATCAAAATTACTGTCAGTGTTTTACTACGATAAATGAATGATTGACTAACATGTGTATGGTGATTTGTTGCGGCAAACATATGTTCAAGCTATAATGGTCTACCTTTGTGGCTCTACGGTTTTAAGTAAGGGCGTCCAAGTTTAACATCCTTTCATCAAAATGATTGAGCAAGGACTGCCGAGTTGTTCAAAATTATTAAGAAGCAGTGCCTTTGTCCTCGCCACCCTCTTCTCCAGTTCTAAATTACGACAAGAGCCCGACAAGTTTCAAGTCCACTCGGAAGGACTATACAGGGACAATCATACATTTTTCAAGTTCATTATTCGTCTTCAACTAAACTTCTTTCTAACTCTTGAACAACTCATAAAGTGAAATGATGTAGCCTGCATCTTTCACCATGTCACAGACAAAGGCATGGTTCAATCAAAACACGCTAATTCTGCTAATTTTGTCCATTTTTGCAAGTCAAAAAATATGCCCTCCTCTGTCATGAGAAAATCCTTTTTTAATTTGACTCTCTGATTTTGGCCCAAATCTGTCTTGAGCAATGGCTTTCGCATAACCAATACCTCCTTAGATAGCCCCATATTCCACAGAAGATTCTTGAACTCTACTGGCTAGTTAGTCCTGAGTTTGGTACAACAGCATTTACAGCACGCATGTTCTTCTTCTTTGTCCTAGCCTCTTCTACCAAAATCATCACCAGAGAGGGGAGCTTTCTGACCACTCAAGACAAGACAAGGAAATTGCAAGTATGAATAAAAAGTTCAACTAATTTAGCTTTGCAACCCAAAAGATCTTGCTAAGGATGGATCTCTTCCTATTTTGGTTTCATGCCTCTAACGGATTCACTGAACTGTACAACTAAGTCACTGATCTAGAAAAGCTCTAGTCTGGACTTGGTTATGCCGGCTTCTACTTCTACTTCTACTTCCCTTCAGGGTAGTGTGACTTTAACTACATTGGCTTGGCCAGCTATTGTCCATCGGGGTATTAGAGCTGAAAGCTTAGCTTCTTTGAACTGAATCCTACATTTTTTCTTTTGAAGGATAGGAGTTGAGTGATTGACCCACGTTTTGTGTTGTGCTTTGTAGATAACTGCTTGTTCAAATCGCCTCCCCATGCCGTCACCCAATCCCCTTTTCGCCCCCCCCCCCTCTTCCTCTTCTCTTTTCTTCTCTTCTTAGATGGGAAAATAGGAAGTAAATTATTCCAATCAGTTGGTGATTATGGTGTGGACCTCGACATTTTAGCATGTAACTAGCTGCTCAGACAAAGCATGAGCTGTATCTATTTATTGGTAAATCTGCAAATCTTCGTTTTGACATCCATCCTCCCCTTAAATGCGTATTTGCGCCTAAGGTCAGTTTCCTAGCAACGGAAAGAGGGATTGGCTAGGAGCTCCACTTATGTCATACAATAAGGCAATATGAGCCATGACATGCCTTGCACTGGGTAAATTGTTTGTAAGGTCTGATCTTTCTGGACTGGACACAAGGCACCAGTACCTATGTATTTTGCACAACCAAACTCAATTTTACAAAATTTTCCTTTACCACTCACAATGATTATGGTTTTGTGGCTAGTCTATCTTGGTGTTGCATGATGCGTGATGTCCAGAAAAGGGGGAAAGATCTTGGCTTTGTATACATCCTTTCACTTGATCAACACCATAGCAATGCCTAGGAGGAAAAGCAAATGCAGACAAATGAAAACATGGTCTGGGAGCCATATTAATCTGCCGCTTTTGCTTCCTTACCACTAGACGTTGGGGGAACACAGCTAAGAGTTTCCTTGCATTCCTCTTCTGTTTTTTCAATTTAGTTCTTCCATGGTCAACATCACATACTTATGACCATCCTAAAGAAATATCTTTTTTCTTTATCTCATTTTCTGCTTTTCTTTTTCTAGGCAGAATTCAATTAATTTCTTTCATTTAGTTCTTGTTTCTGCAAATTCAAAAGCAATAATTCAATTTAAAATGTTCCATTCCAGTATATACAAAATCAATTTAACTTGTTTCCACAAACTATCTGTATACCCAAAGCCTTAACTAGTGTTAACACAGGTCTGTCAATGCATATTATCATGCACCAGTCACAACTAGAAACTGGAATGAATCATAACCCAGTTTATCTAGTGGCCAAACCTCCGAACCTGCTTAATTTAATAAAAAGGAAGGTGTGTGTGTGTGTATATATATATATATATATATAGAGAGAGAGAGAGAGAGAGAGAGAGAGAGAAAGAGAGGGGGGGGGAGGTACACAACTGTAGCCACATAAATAATTGCTATCCCCAAACTTCTTTTTGGCTTCCAAATAGTGTCATTTTCTGCTATATATTACATTATTCATGCAGCATTACAGCAATATCATTTTTTTTAAACAAACAAATATTTACAAGAGTTCGAAACAAATAGGTCAAACATCAAGGGTCTGATTAGTGAGTTTGGTCTAAGATAACTTGCAGGTCATTTTACGCGTGTGTGGATAGGATGGACTCCACAACGGCCCGAGCTATGGGGTGATAAGAATCACAGGCCTCTGCAAACACCCTCTTGGCAAAGATCTTTTCTTCTTTTCCACTGCCTTGTACAAGTGCAGTATAGAGTGGCCGAAGGTATTTCATCCTCCCAACCTGCTTCAAAGTTTTCTCCACCTCATTATGGTGGTCTCTGCACCTTGACAAGATTGCCAGTTCGAGAAATGCCACCTTCACCTCATAATCTTTTGATTCTGAAAGCCTATACCGCGCATCCAAGGCTGAAATCTGCAAATAAACCACAAAAATGTCAACTATAAATTTCAAAACCTGATCATGAGCATGTCTAGAGGCCAGGTTATTAAACAATGCACTATATGCCCATATAAAGCTTATACTGTCTTGTAGTAGAGGATTTGCACATCTTCTGGACAACTGTAAATAAATACATACAAAGATGTCATAAACTAAAGCAGCATCAAACATTATACCCCCACCCACATCTGCCTCTGCACAGCCAACAATAAACACAAACAAATCACACACGTGCGTACATACACAAGCACAAAGAATATATGTTTCAATTCTTCCACAAGCTTGGCAATCGCGAACATACATAAAAAGAGTATCAAATCAAGCTCTAGCAGAGAGCAAGAAGTATCAAATCGAGCAACAAACATATACAAGTTTCATCAATGTTCAGAAATACTGATCAAAAGCGTGAAAGTGCTCAATATGAATGGAGAACAACAGATGTATTAGCAAGACTATCTTCAAGTAGGAAAGCTGGCATTAACAGAGCGTAAGATCACCTGCTTAGCGTGTTTTTTCTGTTTTCTGCAAGATAGGAATTTAGGTATTGGGCAGCTCAAAGATAAAACCTGCAACTGTCTTCAATTAGGAAAAGATGAAACAATACATTGCATAAATTAGACATAGCAACCCAGCAACCCAGAAACAGAAGTAATTAAAACAGCTCTAAAGTACATTAGTGTCTACAAATCATTGATAACAGAGAAGAAACACAAAGTATCATAGTGTTGCCAAGCTATACTTACCTGTGAAGCTTCACCAGGTTTGGGCAAGTTCTGGAGGTAAAGCTCCCATTCCTGTCCTTTCCAATCGGCAACTTCATCCTCCCTTGGTAACTTACCAAGCTTGAACTCATTTGCCAATGATACAATCTTTGAGTAGATGTTGGAAACTGGCTCCATTGCATCTGAAGGGATGCCAGTACCCTTTGGGCCATACTTTTAGATCGATTTCATTCTCTATCCCGGGAACATTTGCTTTCAGGAAATCAATAAACATGTCAGTGTCAATGGATTTGAACTTGCAGGTGGCAATATATTTCTTGAGAAATTCATCAAACGCAGGCCTTCCAATCTGAGCATTGAAAACAAAAAAAACGTTGCCAATCAGGGTCGTCTTCTTTAAACTATCCCTAACAAAGCTTTTGAGTGAGGACCGGCAAGTACACAAACCTGTATTTCAATGCGCCATAAAAACTGGAAACCTTTTTCATAAGGGACTCTAGAAAAAACATCGTCGGGGTCTATTCCTTCCTGATTCGTTTTGAGCTTAGTGATCGCCATGTTGTCCTTGAATCGCTCCATTTCTTTAACCAAACCCCTCCAACCAATTCCAATATTCAATGTAGCTCTGTCCTCCCCTTGCACAGCCTCAACAATTCTCCTTTCTGCATATGTTGTGAAACCCTACAACCAAAAATAAGAAAAATAGCCTAAACTCTTTGCAAAGAGGGGAGGGGGAAACTATGTAGTGGTATGGCATACTTGTGTAAATCTGAACAACATTGACAAAAAAATCACAAGGCCATTGAAGGAAATTTTCTATTTTCAATATTGTCTAATTCTTTTCCGTTTAAGTGCCTTGTTTCAGTGCCACATATACGAAAGAAGATACAATTAAAATGGGAGTATAAAATTCAAAGAGAACTAAAATTCAAGAGTGTATAAGACTTATTTAGTTTTTTGAAAATTGAGAACGAAAACTAGATAGATTTAGAGATAAGTTAGAATTGTTTTGTGTATTTTTTAAAACAATATTTTCAAAATTTAGAAAACACCACAGCCACCACGGCTACGGTGTCCACCACACCACTACCATCACCACACTTTCACCACTACCACTATTTTTCTGTTTTCATTGTTATCTGAGTTAGTATTTAAACAAATTTTATTATTTTCTATTTTGTAAATTTACTTTTGGAATCGTATAACTAAATAAGGTTTGCGACACAAAAAAAACACCAAAAATAATTATTTAAAACTCTTCTTAAAAATAGAATTTAGATATTATTTTTAAAACGGAAATCAAACAACGTGAATGATATCCTCAACAACAGAACTTGATGGGTCAGGCGGTTCAAATTATTTTTAGGTTTTGTCATGTTATGATTTATATAACTTTTTTTTTTATCAGAACAAGACCATGAAATATTGATTTATATAACTTACATCCGACCATTTTGGTAACATATCTAATGTCTATAAAATTGTCTGGTTCAAATTTATACTAATTGATGGGACATTTTCAAATACTTCAAGATGAAGACACGTGTCTTCGGCATCAGTAAATTCTTATTACTGTAATCACGACACGTACCCGTCGGATCACAAGTCCCTCTTCCCCCGAGGTACTGTTCATAGGGATCAATGACACCCAGTACGTTTACATACCGACACGTATCCCTCGGGGCGGATATGGGGTACATCGGTCCCTACATATACCACTCCCCTCGGTACCGAGGTGTACCCGTCCAGGATGGCGTTCTCTGCTCCTGCACAAGCAATTGATGTACAGGTCGCTAATCTAGGCTAGGCTAGGTTAGCCATCATGACCTCGTCTTACACAATTGGTGTCAGAAGGCACAGGAAGGCAGAAGACATAGCCAATGGGAAATGGGCGCGTGGCATATTGTGTCACATCAGAGACAAAAAGACCTGATGCCCTTGCTGACACACGACTTGGGAAAGCAAGCATTTAATTAGACTATTTCGTTGATGAGACAACATTTAATGCGGTAAGTCTCGAAAGAGAATGGTAATAAATGTCCCTGAGACTGGGCATTTATTACACCCTTGCCGAGGGAGCTCATTAAACATTCGGCAGGCCGATGACGCAGCATTGGTTGCTCGGGGTCCCGAGCAGTTAAGAGAAGACATTCCTCATAGGAATCAGTGTGCACGTTGCCTATATCTAATGATCACCTACTGACCACACTGACAGCAATCATGAGTTTTTGAGGTAAAAATACTCCTCGCAAAAGGCAAGACGGGATGCAACAGAAAAACCTTTTCTCAAATCTATACTCAGTGTTTTCTTCTTCCCCTTTCTCAAAAACTGACTTGATTAGGGGATACGTCGGAAAACACTCCGGCGCCCTTCTAACTTGTCTTTCTCTGTTCCAGAAACATCCCTCAGCCTCACTGGACCGCTCCTTTAATCCACGAAAGTCACGCATTATTTTTCCAGGCCACCAACGGATCTCAGCCCGCTCCAAATAGCTAGGGTGACCATTTGATTGACTGACTCGAGTTCACCACGGGAGAGATCTGTTATCGTGTTTATATTGTGCAAGATCCTGCACGCACAATCTGGCGCCGTCTGTGGGAAACGACTAGTTTTCCTAGTTTCTTCTCTATAAAGAACAGTGACCATGGTGAATACTCGACAAAAAGGAAAGGTCCCCAGCAAAGAAGTCTTGATTTGCAAGCTCCTCGTCATAATGGAGGGAAGGGTCACGCTGATGACAATAGAAACGTCTCTACTCAGTCAAGGGAGCTTACTCCTCAAACCAGTATGGGCATCAGGTCAGGAGGATCCGCCCCCTTGGCTCGTCAACTGGCGGAGGTGATCGAAGAAAATTTGGGAATCGATTACGACAGTTGGAGAAAGACAATGTGAATGTCCTAAGTCGGCTCAACGAATTCGCCACCTCCGACGAAGGGTTGAGGGACTCATTCCTTTCTCGTGGACTCTCCCCGCCCGGGAGGCAGAAACGAAGGATCTGAGGAATCATTTAAATAACAAGGCAGAAAACTCCAGGGCCCTAAAGCGACCAAGAGCCAACGAGCACCCTCTTAACAACCATTCCAGGAAGGCAAGACCTTTAGCCCTGGACGATCTCCGGCGAGGATTGTCAAGACGGAGGAAGGGAGATGAGTCCGAGGACGATTCAACCCTATCCACACGACGCCCAGGAAATAGGGGACCTATTGATGAACTCGGAGACTTCAGAAGACATCCCGTTGGGGAGGAAATTGATCTCAGAGCTCGGTTGAAATCTAGGAGAAAGAGTAAGGCTGTCCAGGATGAGGACGAAGACGAGGTCATACAAACACCCTTTACCAGGGATATCGGAGAGATGGAGGTTCCAAAAAAGTTCGTCGTGCCGAGGTTCAAAACTTATGATGGGCGATCCGATCCCGAAGCCCACCTTAGGCAATACAAGCAAATGATGTCCCTGTATCATTCAGACCAACGGTTCCTCTACCGAGTGTTTCCTATGAGCTTGGGGGACTCTACGATGAAGTGGTTCGAGGAGCTTCCCCCAACAGCATTGGATCATGGAAAGAACTGACGAGGCAGTTCCTGGTCCGATTCATTACGGGGAGTAAGCGGCCTAAAGACATTGGATCATTGCTAACGCTCAGACGGAGGGAATCTGAGACCCTTCGCCAGTACGCCATCCGATACTGGGAAGAGGTTAATGAGGTAGAGGGCTGCTCGGAAGTCATGGCAGCGGCGTCTTTCAGACTCGGCTTGGCGAGGGACACGAACCTGTACCGATCCCTGACCAAAAAGACTCCCTCGGACATGGGCGAGTTGATGGCCCGGATAAACAAGTACTCTAGGATCGAGGACGAGATGGGAAGCAGCAAAGGCAGAACCCTCCAATCTAAGAGAAAAGAGAGGGAGCGGAAGGATACTTTCCGAAAGGGACTGCTACCCCCACCGGGGGGTCATTCAAAGGAGTTCACACTATGTTCAAAGAACCCATTTACAATTTGCTCCATAAGATCAAGCATGAGCCATTCTTCAAGTGGCCGCCCAGGATGCAGAGCGATCCCTCCACCCGTGATCAAAAGGTCAGATGTTCCTATCACCGGGATTTTGGTCATCGCACCGACAGCTGCAAGGTATACAAATCTTTCTTGGAAAGATTGGTCCGAGAAGGATACTTAAAAGAATATATAGAGCCCCAGTCGCAAGAGGGACGCACCCCAGTCCCGACCGAGGAGCCGGACAACATCATAGATGTGATCCATGTATGCCCGCTAGATCGCCCCACGTCCAAGGAACTCGAGTTCGATCTCAAGAGGGTAGCTTTTACAAGAAAGATAACCGAGAATGATGGGGGGTCGCCCAGTAAAAGGGCCAGGATTGGTGAGCCGAGCATCACGTTCTCCGACGCGGACTTAACGGGCATGGTGACTCCTCATAACGACGCCCTTGTCATAACCCTGAAGATAGGCAAGTTCGATGTCAAGAGGGTGTTGATAGACTCCGAAAGTTCCTCGGAAGTGATGTACTCTGACACTTTAAAACGGATGGGTCTTGGCGACAAGGACCTCACCAAGGTCAGGACACCCCTCATCGGATTCAACGGCTCATTCGCCCTGCCCATAGGCAAAATCACATTACCAGTTGTCACAGATCCCTTCACCATCAACACCGAGTTTGTCATGATTGATACGGACTTTCCCTACAATGTGATCATGGGACGAGCATGACTGCATGCGTTGGGAGCAGTGCACTCCACTTATCACCAGAAACTGAAATTCGCCACGCCAGAGGGGATCATGGAGATCCGAGGGGACCAAGCGTCCGCAAAGAATTATTTTTATTCAGCTGTTAGAGTAGGGGCTTTCACCCAAGAAAAGGGGCGCGCAACGAAAGAAATCCTGAAAAGTAGCAATCACAGTCCGGGCGTCCAGGGATGGATGACCCTCGGATTGACCCAACTGAACGGTCGGTGGAGGACCTCCGAAAGGTGCCCTTGGTGGAAGGAGAAGAAGAAAGATACTTCTTAGTTGGAACCGCGATGCCCACAACCGAACAGGAGGGGATGATTGAGTTCCTGAGGGGAAATGCAGATGTGTTTGCTTGGAACGCAATGGAAATGACGGGAGTGGACCCCGAAATAATCACACACAAGCTTCATGTTGACCCGGCGCACAAGCCAGTAAAACAAAAGCCACGACGCATGGCCCCGTACCACGCCCGAGCGATCAACGAAGAGATCGATAAACTCCTAGAGGCCAATGCCATCCGGGAGGTACAGTTCTCGAAATGGCTGTCCAACACGGTCTACGCGAAGAAAAAGGGGGAAAAATGGCGTGTCTGCGTAGACTTCACTGATCTAAACAAGGCATGTCCCAAGGACGATTACCCCCTACCAAAGGTGGACCAGCTAGTGGATGCCACTGCTGGATATGAAAGCATGGACTTCTTGGATGCCCGAGCAGGATATCACCAGATCCCTCTCCATCCCCCGGATCAGGAAAAGACGGCGTTTATCACTCCAAAGGGAGTTTACTGTTACAAAGTGATGTTGTTTGGGCTAAAGAACGCCGGGGCAACATACCAAAGACTGATGAATCGGATGTTCAAAATGCAGATCAGCAACACCATGGAGGTCTACATTGACGATATGCTGGTGAAGAGCAAACGAAACTGTGACCACCTGGTAGATTTAGCAGATACCTTCTCCACCCTCAGGGAGTACGGGCTAAAGCTGAACGCTGCAAAGTGCGTTTTTGGAGTAGAGTCGGGTAAATTTCTCGGATAT